GGGCCCAATATCTTTCCCTTCACCACGCCATGATACGTGGAATAAGGCCACTCATTTGGACCCTACTTTGTATTATTAAGGTCCAATACATAGATTATATTAATAGAGAGAACTGATACCCTGATACCACTGACACCCACGCAGTGGGCAATACTCTGGATAAAATCTCACTAACAATAAATAAATCATCATAAATACTGTGAGAAACATTTTGATATAGAATTTCTGTGTGCAAATGACCACACACAATTGTAGATTCACTAAAGTTACTATTCAGAGGGTGTCAAGATCTCACTATATTTTATACTGACCTATTTAGCTACAGGACTATACCACTTCATAGACATTATTACGAAGACCACTCTTATTTCCAGGCTATACGGTGATTTTCATTCTTTATTTTGAGAATCGCTGTATTTATATTTCTCTGCTTTTCTGTTTAGTTCGTATTAGGGTTAAGCCCTGAGAGATCCCTGGAGTCTCGAACTGGTGGTAAGTATAACCGGTTCAACTTGGACGCTATTTTCGTTTCTAGTGCCACAAGCTGGGCCTGTACATTATCCTTTACTTGCTTTTCTTTGTTATATTATTGTCCTTCTTTTCCAGCTCTGCAAACCGGCTTCCCATGGCCAACGTTTCGTTCCGAAGATACAAGAACACAGACTATGATGCTGTTCGACTTCTTTTTGAACAAGGGATGAAAAGCCATATTCCTTCTATATGTGTTCACATCCTGAAGCTTCCCCGGGCCCAGACTATTCTTGTATTAGCTTTTATTATAGTATTTACAATCTCCAAATCCTACCTCCTGTCTCTTATGGGTGTAACTACAGTGTTGGCTGCTGGTTGGCTGTTAGTGAACACTAATTTTAATTCTTATGTGGAAAAATGTCACAAAGACGATCTGTTGGACATTGAGAAGTCCTATATGGAAAACAAAAAGTCTTGCTTCTGGGTGGCTGAGTCCAATGGAAGGGTTATAGGAATGGTTGGCGTCCAACCAACAGGAGACACGGGGGACATCATGGTGCTGAGACGCTTGTCTGTTGCAAAAGACCAACGTGGACAGGGTATCGCTAAATCTCTGTGTAAAATTGTCCTCGACTTTGCTCGAAAGCATGGAGCCAAATATGTCAATCTGGACACATCCATAATACAGAGACCAGCTCATAAATTGTATGAGTACTTGGGCTTTGAAAAGACAGAAGTCAGGTTGAGTCAAACACTTCCTGGAAGATTTGCAAATCTTTATGTTTTGTATTTTTCATACAATATAAAATAGTGAGTAATAAACAATGCATGGAAGCTGTTTGCAATTAACAAATCAAACAAAAGTGATTGAAATAGCTCAAAGAGTGATTTGAGTGGTTTCCCCAAATTCAACTAAATTCAACTTACAATGACTTCTCCAGTCTCAGAATTATTCAACCCTTTATGGCAAGCATCTTCAGTACTAAGTAGAGCACAATTTTGCTGTTATGAGCTGCTGCAAACAAGATACATAGCCAGGTACCAGCTTCTGGCAGCGTTCCTGAGGAATCGTAGCCCATTTCTCATGAGCAATGGCCTCCAATTCAGTAATATTCTTGAGTTTGTGTGAGGGAACAGCCTTCTTCAAATCCCATCAGAGATTTTCTATGAGCTTCAAGTCAGTTTACTGTGATGGCCACTGTAGAATTTTACAGGACTTTTTTTTATATTTTATTCATATCAAATTATGTTTCATATATAAATAGTTGATGTAAAATGAAAGCTCTATTACTCCTGTCCAAAATGATATATAATACGTGTGAGTGCACTTAACCCCTTAAGGACACATGACACAGTGGCGGATCCAGAGCCTGATCTCAGGAGGGGCACTTGTAGATTATTTAAATAAATAATCCAGACACAATAACCACTACAGCTCAGAGTAGTGGTTATGGTGTCAATAGTGCCGGGACCCCCTCCCAGAGTAAGTAGTCTGCTGGAAAATGGGGCTGTAGTAGGGCATAGGAGCAGTGGTGTGTGTGAGTGGTGCAATGTGTAAGGGGTGCGGTGTGTGTGTGTGTGTGTGTGTGTGTGTGAGGGGGACAGTGTGTGAGCAGTGTGTGTGTGTGAAGGTTGTAGTGTGTGAGTGAGGGTGGCAGTGCATGTCAGGGATGCAGTGTATGTGTGGGACAGTATGTGTGTGTAACAGTTGCAGTGTGTGTGTGTGTGAGTATTGCAGTGTATGTGTGTATGGGGGCAGTGTGTGTGTATGGGGGTAGTGTGTGTGTGTAGAGTGTGTGTGTGTGTGTATGGGGGTGCAGTGTGTGTGTGTGTGTGTATGGGGTATGGTGTATGTGTGTATGGTGTATGTGTGTATGGTGTATGTGTGTAGAGTGTGTGTGTGTGTGTGTGATAAGGGTAGGGGGGCTTTTATTTTATAATATATGTATTTTTTATTTATTTAATTAAAATAAATATTCTATGTACCCCCTCCCTTCTTACCTTTATTGAGGAGGAGGGAGGACATTTCTTAGTCCCTGGTGGTCCAGTGAGCATTACCGTGGTAACCACCACAACGCTCCAAATCTCGCGAGAGGAGGACCAGAGCTCCCAGGTCCTCTCTCCTCCCTCTCCCTCCCCTGCTGGCTGTCAGAAAAGTGCCTGCAGACCGAGATCTGAGATCTCCCCTGCAGTCCACAGGCACATTGCAGGGCTGGGACCAGCATGTGCTGGCAGGGGAGAGGGAGACCGTCGGATTTCTCGGGGGGGGAGGGGTGGGGCAATTGCCCCGTTGCCCCCCCCCCATGATCCGCCACTGACATGACATGTGTGGCATGTCATGATTCCCTTTTATTCCAGAAGTTTGGTCCTTAAGGGGTTAATATGAAAAAGGTGAATTATAGTTGAACAGACAGATAGTCTAGTCCGGTTTTGTTTTGGTCAGAACTAGTACAATTGCTTCTGTCCTTAACCCCTTAAGGACACATGACATGTGTGACATGTCATGATTGCCTTTTATTCCAGAAGTTTGGAAAGGGTTAAACAAACATTACTGGGAGTATTATTACTGTGGAGCTCTGTTATACACTCAGACAAATTGCTGGAAGTATTATTGCTGCGGAGCTCTGTTATACACTCAGACACATTACTGGGAGTATTATTGCTGTGGGGCTGTTATGCACCCAGACACATTACTGGGAGTATTATTGCTGTGGAGCTCTGTTATACACTCAGACACATTACTGGGAGTATTATTACTGTGGAGCTCTGTTATACACTCAGTCACATTACTGGGAGTATTATTGCTGTGGAGCTCTGTGATACACTCAGACACATTTCTGGGAGTATTATTGTTGCGGAGCTCTGTTATACACTCAGACACATTACTGGGAGTATTATTGCTGTGGAGCTCTGTTATACACTCAGACACATTACTGGGAGTATTATTGCTGTGGAGCTCGGTTATACACTCAGACATAACTGGGAGTATTATTGATGTGGAGCTCTCTTATAAAATCAGACACATTACTGGGAGTAATATGGCTGTGGAGCTCTGTTATACACTTAGACACATTACTGGGAGTATTATTGCTGTGGGGCTCTGTTATACACTCAGACACATTACTGGGAGTGTTATTGCTGGGGAGCTCTGTTATACACTCAGACACATTACTGGGAGTATTATTGCTGTGGAGCTCTGTTATACACTCAGACACATTACTGGGAATAATATGGCTGTGGAGCTCTGTTATACACTCAGAGACATTACTGGGAGTATTATTACTGCGGGGCTTGGTTATACAGTCAGACACATTACTGGGAGTATTATTGCTGTGGAGCTCTGTTATACACGCAGACACATTACTGGGAGTATTATTGCTGTGGGGCTCTGTTACAACTCAGAAACATTACTGGGAGTATTATTGCTGTGGAGCTCTGTTATACACTCAGACACATTGCCAGGTGTATTATTACTGTGGAGCTCTGTTATACACTCAGAAACATTACTGGGAGTATTATTGCTGTGGAGCTCTTTTATACACTCAGACACGTTACTGGGAGTATTATTGCTGTGGAGTTCTGTTATACACTCAGACACATTACTGGGAGTATTACTGCTGTGGAGCTCTGTTATACACTCAGACACATTACTGGGAGTATTATTGCTGTGGGGCTCTGTTATACGCTCAGACACATTACTAGGGGTATTATTGCTGTGGTGCTCTGTTATACGCTCAGACCCATTACTGGGAGTATTATTGCTGTGGAGCTCTGTGATACACTCAGACACATTACTGGCAGTATTATTGCTGTGGAGCTCTGTTATACACTCAGAAACATTACTGGGAGTATTATTGCTGTGGAGCTCTGTTATACACTCAGACACATTACTGGGAGTATTATTGCTGGCGAGCTCTGTTATACATTCAGACAAATTACTGGGAGTATTATTACTTTGGAGCTCTGTTATACACTCAGACAAATTACTTGGAGTATTATTGCTGTGAAGCTCTGTTATACACTCAGACATGTTACTGGGAGTATTATTGCTGTGGCGTTCTGTTATACACTCAGACACATTACTGGGAGTATTACTGCTGTGGAGCTCTGTTATACACGCAGACACATTACTGGGAGTATTATTGCTGTGGGGCTCTGTTATATGCTCAGACACATTACTAGGAGTATTATTGCTGTGGAGCTCTGTTATACACTCAGACACATTACTGGGAGTATTATTACTGTGGATCTCTGTTATACACTCAGACACATTACTGGGAGTATTATTGCTGTGGAGCTCTGTTATACACTCAGGCACATTACTGGGAGTGTTATTACTGTGGAGCTCTGTTATACACTCAGACACATTACTGGGAGTATTATTGCTGTGGAGCTCTGTTATACACTCAGACACATTACTGGGAGTATTATTGCTGTGGAGCTCTGTTATAGGCTCAGACACATTACTGGGAGTATTATTGCTGTGGAGCTCTGTTATACACTCAGACACATTACTGGGAGTATTATTGCTGTGGAGCTCTGTTATAACACATTACTGGGGTATTATTGATGTGGAGCTCTGTTATACACTCAGACACATTACTGGGAGTATTATTGCTGTGGAGCTCTGTTACACACTCAGACACATTACTGGGAGTATTATTGCTGTGGAGCTCTATTATACACTCAGACACATTGCTGGGAGTATTATCGCTGTTGGACTCTGTTATACACTCAGACACATTACTGGGAGTAATATTGCTGTGGAGCTCTGTTATACACTCAGTCACATTTCTGGGAGAATTATCGCTGTGGAGCTCTGTTATACACTCAGACACATTACTGGGAGTATTATTGCTGTGGAGCTCTGTGATACACTCAGACACATTATTGGGAGTAGTATTGCTGTGGAGCTCTGTTATACACTCAGACACATTACTGGGAATATTATTCCTGTGGAGCTCTGTGATACACTCAGACACATTACTAGGAGTAGTATTGCTGTGGAGCTCTGTTATACACTCAGACACATTACTGGGAGTATTATTGCTGTGGAGCTCTGTTATACACTCAGACACATTACTGGGAGTATTATTGCTGTGGAGCTCTGTTATACACTCAGACACATTACTGGGAGTATTACTGCTGTGGGGCTCTGTTATACACTCAGACACATTACTGGGAGTATTATTGCTGTGGAGCTCTGTTATACACTCAGACACATTACTGGGGGTATTATTGTTGTGGAGCTCTGTTATATACTCAGACACATAACTGGGAGTAGTATTGCTGTGGAGCTCTGTTATACACTCAGACACATTACTGGGAGTATTATTGCTGTAGAGCTCTGCTATACACTCAGACACATTACTGGGAGTATTATTGCTGTGGAGCTCTGCTATACACTCAGACACATTACTGGGAGTATTATTACTGTGGAGCTCTGTTATACACTCAGACACATTACTGGGAGTATTATTGCTGTGGAGCTCTGTTATACCCTCAGACACATTACTGGGAGTATTATTGCTGTGGAGCTCTGTTATGCACCCAGACACATTACTGGGAGTATTATTGTTGTGGAGCTCTGTTATACACTCAGACACATTACTGGGAGTATTATTGCTGTGGAGCTCTGTTATTCACTCAGACACATTACTAGGAGTATTATTGCTGTGGAGCTCTGTTATACACTCAGACACATTACTTGGAGTATTATAGCTGTGGAGCTCTGATATACACTCAGGCATATTACTGGGAGTATTATTGCTGTGGAGCTATGTTAAACACTCAGGCACATTACTGGGAGTATTATTGCTGTGGAGCTCTGTTATACACTCAGACACGTTACTGGGAGTATTATTGCTGTGGAGTTCTGTTATACTCTCAGACATATTACTGGGAGTATTACTGCTGTGGAGCTCTGTTATACACTCAGACACATTACTGGCAGTATTATTGCTGTGGTGCTCTGTTATACGCTCAGACACATTATTAGGGGTATTATTGCTGTGGAGCTCTGTTATACACTCAGACACATTACTGGGAGTATTATTGCTGTGGAGCTCTGTTATACACTCAGACACATTACTGGGAGTATTATTGCCGTGGAGCTCTGTTATACACTCAGACACATTACTGGGAGTATTATTATTGTGGAGCTCTGTTATACACTCAGACACATTACTGGGAGTATTATTGCTGTGGAGCTCTGTTATACACTCAGACACATTACTGGGAGTATTATTACTTTGGAGCTCTGTTATACACTCAGACAAATTACTTGGAGTATTATTGCTGTGAAGCTCTGTTATACACTCAGACACGTTACTGGGAGTATTATTGTTGTGGAGTTCTGTTATACACTCAGACACATTACTGGGAGTATTACTGCTGTGGAGCTCTGTTATACACTCAGACACATTACTGGGAGTATTATTGCTGTGGGGCTCGGTTATATGCTCTGACACATTACTAGGGGTATTATTGCTGTGGAGCTCTGTTATACACTCAGACACATTACTGGGAGTATTATTGCTGTGGAGCTCTGTTATACACTCAGACACATTACTGGGAGTATTATTGCTGTGGAGCTCTGTTATACACTCAGACACATTACAGGAAGTATTACTGCTGTGGAGCTCTGTTATACACTCAGACACATTACTGGGAGTATTATTGCTGTGGGGCTCTGTAATACACTCAGACACATTACTGGGAGTATTATTGCTGTGGAGCTCTGTTATACGCTCAGACACATTACTGGGAGTATTATTGCTGTGGAGCTCTGTTATACACTCAGACACATTACTGGGAGTATTATTGCTGTGGAGCTCTGTTATACACTCAGACACATTACTAGGAGTATTATTGCTGTGGAGCTCTGTTATACACTCAGACACATTACTTGGAGTATTATTGCCGTGGAGCTCTGTTATACACTCAGACACATTACTGGGAGTATTATTGCTGTGGAGCTCTGTTATACACTCAGACACATTACTGGGAGTAGTATTGCTGTGGAGCTCTGTTATACACTCAGACACATTACTGGGAGTAGTATTGCTGTGGAGCTCTGTTATACACTCAGACACATTACTGGGAGTATTATTGCTGTGGAGCTCTGTTATACACTCAGACACATTACTAGGAGTATTATTGCTGTGGAGCTCTGTTATACACTCAGACACATTACTAGGAGTATTATTGCTGTGGAGCTCTGTTATACACTCAGGCATATTACTGGGAGTACTATTGCTGTGGAGGTATGTTAAACACTCAGGCACATTACTGGGAGTATTATTGCTGTGGAGCTCTGTTATACACTCAGACACATTACTGGGAGTATTATTACTGTGGGGCTTGGCTATACAGTGAGACACATTACTGGGAGTATGATTGCCGTGGAGCTCTGTTATACACGCAGACACATTACTGGGAGTATTATTGCTGTGGGGCTCTGTTATACACTCAGACACATTACTTGGAGTATTATTGCTGTGGTGCTCTGTTATACACTCAGACACATTACTGGGAGTATTATTGCTGTGGAGCTCTGTCATACACTCAGACACATTACTGGGAGTATTATTGCTGTGGAGCTCTGTTATACACTCAGAAACATCAGTGGGAGTATTATTGCTGTGGAGCTCTGTTATACACTCAGACACATTACTGGGAGTATTATTGCTGGGGAGCTCTGTTATACATTCAGACAAATTACTGGGAGTATTATTACTTTGGAGCTCTGTTATACACTCAGACACATTACTGGGAGTATTATTGCTGTGGAGCTCTGTTAGACACTCAGACACATTACTGGGAGTATTATTGCCGTGGAGCTCTGTTATACACTCTGACACATTACTGGGAGTATTATTGCTGTGGAGCTCTGTTATACACTCAGACACATTACTGGGAGTATTATTGCTGTGGAGCTCTGTTATACACTCTGACACATTACTGGGAGTATTAGCTCTGTTATACACTCAGACACATTACTGGGAGTATTATTGCTGTGGAGCTGTGTTATACACTCAGACACATTACTGGGAGTATTATTGCTGTGGAGCTCTGTTATACACTCAGACACATTACTGGGAGTATTATTGCTGTGGAGCTCTGTTATACACTCAGACACATTACTGGGAGTATTATTGCTGTGGAGCTCTGTTATACACTCAGACACATTACTGGGAGTACTATTGCTGTGGAGCTCTGTTATACACTCAGACACATTACTGGGAGTATTATTGCTGTGGAGCTCTGTTATACACTCAGACACATTACTGGGAGTATGATTGCTGTGGAGCTCTGTTATACACTCAGACACATTACTGGGAGTATTATTGCTGTGGGGCTCTGTTATACACTCAGACACATTACTGGAGTATTATTGCTGTGGTGCTCTGTTATACACTCAGACACATTACTGGGAGTATTATTGCTGTGGAGCTCTGTCATACACTCAGACACATTACTGGGAGTATTATTGCTGTGGAGCTCTGTTATACACTCAGAAACATCAGTGGGAGTATTATTGCTGTGGAGCTCTGTTATACACTCAGACACATTACTGGGAGTATTATTGCTGGGGAGCTCTGTTATACATTCAGACAAATTACTGGGAGTATTATTACTTTGGAGCTCTGTTATACACTCAGACACATTACTGGGAGTATTATTGCTGTGGAGCTCTGTTATACACTCAGACACATTACTGGGAGTATTATTGCTGTGGAGCTCTGTTATACACTCAGACACATTACTGGGAGTATTATTGCTGTGGAGCTCTGTTATACACTCAGACACATTACTAGGAGTATTATTGCTGTGGAGCTCTGTTATACACTCAGACACATTACTGTGTGCAATAGTGTGTTAAACGCCACACCCTACAAACCAAAATGAGCAATAAATCTTTTACAATCACCGTTTAGCAGACATGCCCCAATGAAGGCACTTAAAGAGCTTGCAAAATCTTCAGATCTTATCAGTTTCAGCCCTAGGAAGCCCTCCCCTTTTCCCCACCAATAGACTTAAAGTCACTTCACAGGAGAATAGTCGAATTGGTGCCTACGTGCATGCACGCACGTCTGGTCAGAGATCGGAAGGAGCCGGATGCGCTGGTCTGAGGTCTGTGTGGGAGGAGGCAGACACGTTCCGTTATCTCAGACCTCTACCCTGTTTGATTGACAGGAGGTGTTCCCTGGTACATTTGTAAAAGTGCTGATTTCTCATAAAAATCGTCCCTTTTGTAAACGGGGGTTAAACTAGGATACCCATTGCCCTTAAAGCATTTCTGCAAGCTGACATGATTTTGGGGTGTGGAGTGTTCCTTTAACCCCTTAAGGACACAGGACACGTGTGACAGGTCATGATTCCCTTTTATTCCAGAAGATTGGTCCCTAAGGGGTTAAACTCGATGGTGGAGATTTAGCTAAGTTTTTCTTTACCCGTTTTAGAATGGAATGTGCTTACATTGTTTAAACAGAAGGCGATTGCCCATCATTTCTATTTACGTAATGTGTTCTGTTATAACCGTAGTTACTGGGTTATTACTGTAATTATTACAAAACTGACCTATTCTCTACATTTCGAACAAACCCCCTCCCTACTCCACTTCCTCCCTCTTTGTCTGGAAATTCCCCATGATGCAAGTAAAGCTGGGTGAGTGGTGTCGGATTGCCAGCCCACCTCACGCCACCAGCAGACAGGCACACCTACAACAGGAAATTGCAATTATTCATTCTGTTACACTCAGTGAGTTACATTGTATACAGGAGCTAACGCCGGGTACAGATCTGTCCTAGGATGGCAGTGCCAGTTTCTCTGTTAGTCTTATTTCTGCTATCCGGACCAGGCACAGGTAACCATTTATTGCACTTACAAAGGATTTAACGAATTAACAAAAATAGTGAAATAGTTAGAGCAAAGTTGGCTGGAACAATAGCCGAGGAACGATATCTGATTTGGAAAACTTTTTCCAGCTTGTCTAATTTGGCACAAAAACATGTAATTCGTTAACCCCTTAAGGACACATGACGTGTGACATGTCATGATTCCCTTTTATTCCAGAAGTTTGGTCCTTAAGGGGCTAACAATTCAAGGTAGGAAGGGAGGAATGGGAGGGGGCAATGCTGTTACTTTCTCCAAATAATATCTGTAGTATTTTGAGCAATATTTAACCAGAGATTCTTGTACAAGTCATTTTAGTGCAGCCATTATTGTTAACCCTTCAAACTGTAATATGTACGTCAAACAGGAGGAAACATGGCCGTTTTTTTAATCTCTTCATGATACATATAATAATAATTACTCACCACGGCTATCAAAAGAGACGGTTTTGCTCTGCTTGTAATGGGGGGGTTGTTATGAATTGCATCATTTCTAATGTATTGACGTATTCGGGGCTTGGTTTCACCTCCTGTTCTTGTTTCTGTTCATTTTATTAATTTGTGTCCTTTTGTAATTTGCTTGTTTGATTTCTTTGCGTATTTACTTACAGCTCTGTAGACTGTAGTTAAATAATTCCAATCATCTAGCGGTTGGTAAACGGTGTCCAGTAATTCTTGTTGTGTTTGCGGTAACGTATTTAATGGCTTCTGATGATTTGACCTGTTAAGGGTTACTCTCTGTTAACATGTACTCTACCTGTGTAAAAGAAGGTCTGGTCACCCTCATCTCTGCTTGATATGATATGCAGTGGAATGTAGGGACAGGAACTTATTACATGAGCACTCCACACACCATAACCACTACAGAGTGCTCTGCTGATTATGGCACCAGGTGCACACTCCCGGTCAGTAGTCAAACTGTTTCCAAATGGTCTGACAACGTACCTACGTTCTGTTGTTCACCGGTCACCTCCCCCAGGAGACTCTCTGCACAGTCTGGTGGTAAACGGCTTAGCTTATTGGCTGACGGCGCTCAACTAACACTGTCAGCCAATGAGACGACTCTGCACTGTAGGGTTTAGCTCTGTGGAGCTAACAGAAGCTCCACGAAGGAGCTTCTGGCACTTCTGGTGCTGTAACGGCCCCCTGCAGACCCCAGGAAATCAAACCGTTTAAAAACTACCACTGTACTGGTTTTGGTGCTTGGAGTGTCCCTTTAAATACGTAGTATTCAGGAAACAGTGACATCATCATGACTTCCTGTGGGCAAGCATTACTATAATAATGTATCTAAATATAACATGTCTCCCTTTCTAACCAAGCTGCCGCTTACTGCCACCGGTAATTATGTGTTATATCCGTTTTACATACCAACAGCAAATCATTTCACTAATCATTACTTTAATATTTCCATTTTTTATTTTTATTTCCTTCAAATCACCAGCAAGCTTGTTGTGCAGTTTTATTTAAACTTCGGTTGTTTGTTTAAAAACCTGCAGGGAGCAGCCATATTGTCTTCAAAGGATCGACTAATGTGCAAGTACACAATGTACATCTTCTCACTCTAAAAAATGTTTGTTGAGCGATTTCCTTCCAAGTAAATGTTTTAAAAAGAGATCAAACAGGTATGAATGTCCGTCCAGTCCATTAAACAGATTCTGAGATATCCTGAAAGACGTCCTTAGAAAAAGCAATATGGCTGCTCAGTGCATTCTGTATCGGATGATTATAATCACAAACTCTCAATAGTATCAGACTGTTATGACTGAGAATTGTTATATCTTATTTTCCTTCAAATCCCCATGCATGCTGCTCCCTACTTAGCATTATTTAAAAAAACATGTATTTTTGTTTGTTTGACTATCATAATTAAATGTATTTCTTTTATTTATTTTCGTAAGGAAGCTCTCATTGTGGCCATCAGAATTCACAGAATGCTGGCATTGCAAGGATCCATCGCTGTTACATTAATACCAGTTGGGGTTCAATCACCGAACTTCCAACATCCTGACCATGTATAAAGCTGGCACCCAAAACTTCACCAAGCAAGCGTTCCATCCTCCTAATCACTGGGTACCGTATAAGGCACATCACAATCAGGTCTCAAACCTAGCACTATATAGAGAGCGTTAACTAGTCTCAAGGTGAAAGTTGGTGCCGGCTGTTAAAATCAGATAATAATCCCATAACTATTAAAATGCAGACTATATAAAACCACACACAGGGCCGGCCTTTGGGGTGTGTGAGCTGTGCGGCTGCATAGTGCGTCGGAGCAACAAGGGCGCCAGGCAGCCGAGGTACCAGATTCCCTCTCCCCTTGTGCCCACAGTCTCCAGCCTTTTCCAGTCAGAATTAAAACTTTAGTTCTTTAAGTACGTTTGCAGGCAGTGCGGGACCAAACATTCTCAGTCAGGACCTCTCTCTCTGATGCTGGGTTCTGTGTGTGAACCAATAGAGACACTTCTTGTTATACCCCCACCCGCTCCACAGAGAACCTGACAAAAGTCCTGGCAGAGCATGTAAGGTCTCAGGAGGACTCTCACTCCCATGATGCTCGGTTCAAAAACTTGGAGATGGAGGTGCGGGGGGGAGATGGAGGCACAGGGGAGAACAAACATGAAGAGGAGCATGTACACAAAGGGGGACGTGGACATAAGGGCAGAGGCGGCTCTCTAATTAGGCGGTTTAGGCGGCCGCCTAAGGCCTCGTGCTGGCTGGGGGCTCGCGGCCGCCTAAACCGCCTTATGGCAGACTTGACACCAGGACGGGTCCCGGCGGCTTGCCCGGTATGCCGCCGGGTGCGAGGCCCCTCCTGGCTGCCTGGCCACCATCGCAGACCATGTGTCTCGCGAAAACCGGCCAATCAGAGCGTTTCCGCGGGTTACCACGGCAACGCTCTGATGATCTTGTGAGATTACACGGTCTGCAGCTCTGCGTAGCTGCAGACCAGAAGCAGTGGCCACCGGACAACCAGGGAGTCCACTGGACCACCAGGGAATAAAGGTAGGTTCTGCTCACCCCCCACCAGCCTCCCCACCCCCCCACCAGCCTCACCACTACCCTCAGCCTCCCCACCCACCCACCAGCCTCACCACCACCCCTCAGCCTCCCTCACCACCACCTTCAGCCTCCTTACCCCCACCAGCCTCACCACCACCTCAGCCTCCCTCCCCACCAGCCTCCCCACCCCACCAGCCTCCCCACCACCACTCTCAGCCTCCCCACCCCCCACCAGCCTCACCCAGCACCCCCCACCAGCCTCACCACCACCCTCAGCCTCCCCACCCCCACCAGCCTCCCACCCACCCTCAGCCTCCCCCACCTCCCCACCAGTCTCACCACCAGCCTCACCACAACCCTCAGCCTCCCCCCAACAGCCTCACCAACCCTCACACCCCCACCACCCTCAGCATCACCACCCTCAGCGTCACCCCCACACCACCCTCAGCCTCACCACCCCACACCACCCTCAGCCTCACCCCTCACCACCCTCAGCCTCTCGCATTACCCCCCTCTGCCTATCGCATTACCCCCCTCTCGCATTACCCCCCCTCTCCCTCTCACCATCACCCCCCCTCTCCCTCTGACCATCAACCCTCCATACACACAACAAGCAGCTAACACATACGGTCTCAGGAGGGTATGGGAGAGACATGAACACAAGGGGAACATGTAGACAGGGACATATGAGGAGACATAGATACAAGAGAGACAAGGGAACATGGATGGACATGGACACAAAGTGACACAATGGACACAGGAGTGGACGGGGTGGGCATAGACACAAATGAGGACACAAGGAAGACATGGAGACAAAAAGGACATAGACATAAGTGGGGATATGGACACAGGGTTGGACAGGGGAGCACAGACACATGGAGGCACATGGACACAAAGGGAGACATGGACACCCACACTGGTACACATACTACTACACATAACGTGCACACACACACACCCACACTAGTACACATACTACTGCCCATAATGTGCACACACCCGCACTGGTACACATACTACTACACATAACATGCACACACCCACACTGGTACACATAATGTGTACACACCCACACTGGTACACATACTACTGCCCATAACATGTACACACCCACACTGGAACACATGGTACTACACATAACGTGTACACACCCACACTGGTACACATAATACTACACATAACGTGCACACACCCACACTGGTACACATACTACTACACATAACGTGCACACACCCACACTGGTACACATACTACTACACATAACGTGCACACACCCACACTGGTACACATACTACTACACATAACGTGCACACACCCACACTGGTACACATACTACTACACATAACGTGCACACACCCACACTGGTACACATACTACTACACATAACGTGCACACACCCACACTGGTACACATACTACTACACATAACGTGCACACACCCACACTGGTACACATACTACTACACATAACGTGCACACACCCACACTGGTACACATACTACTACACATAACGTGCACACACCCACACTGGTACACATACTACTACACATAACGTGCACACACCCACACTGGTACACATACTACTACACATAACGTGCACACACCCACACTGGTACACATAACGTGTCATAAGAGTGGATTTATGTACCAGTGTGGGTGTGGGTGTGTGCAAGCGCCAGCCTTGTGTTGAGCAGGCACTTGGATAGCATCAGCCCTACCTAGAAAAATAGTTTGATCTCCCCTGTTTACCTCATGGCCCATGTGGCATTTGCCCAGTTTGCTCGATTGAAAGTCCAGGTCTTCCCCAAGGTGTATACCTATGGGACTTTTTAATAATACCCTGAATCTGTATTCTGAAAGATCCCCCAAGTACAGAAATGTCTCTTATATTTACCTTTGATCACTTTTCGTATAATTTTTAAAGGGCAGAGTTGGTTTGGCAGTGATTATAGTTATCTGCTTACCCACAAACCTCTCTGTCATTCACAGTATCACAATGTGAAACTAAATAAAGTGGAATATTCATGTTTTTACCAGGATGTGGGTGAGGCATTAGAGTGAATTAGAACAATGACTACGGTAGATTCACCTCTAAGCCTCTCCTGACTCCTAATCACAGGGAGTTAGGAGAGACCTGAATATTGTTTTAAAGAGTAGTCTGGGGCCTCTAGTGGGGTGTAGCGGGTGCATTTACCACAAGCCACTCTATTAATCACAATTGTGAATGGGATTTGGAGTAAATAAAAATAAATGAATCTCGTTGTTCCTGAGTAATACAGCGGAGCTTCCAAAGGGTTCATTCATTTTTTACAGGGAGGAGACTTTCCACAGTTAAAGCAGTTCTGTCACTTCTGAGCATTTTAAGATAAACACATTTATTAAGCACTTACATTGAGTGCACTGGGATTTCCCCGAAATTCTAACACAGTTGAAAGATATCATAATACAAAACAGGCAACAAATTATCTTATGGGCGGAACTAGAGTTAGTAAAACTTGACTAAAGGTGCAGTTTCTGCTGTCAGGTTTAACCCCTTAAGGACGGAGCCAAATGTACACAGTGTGAACGAAACAAAATGTAAACCAAACCTGGCATTTGCGCTACATGTCTGTCCAACCGTAATACACCTCTTTCATAGTAAATGCACCCACCCTTATTATATATCATTTTATTCAGGGGAAACAGGGCTTTCATTTATTATCAAATATTTAGCTATGAAACATGATTTAATATGAAAAAAATGGGAGAAAATAAGATTATTTTTTTTTTTTTTAGTTCTACATGACATTTTAACGGTCAGTGTCATAATACTGTTTGCTTTTACTGCAATAAAATACACATATTTGTATTCAGCAAAGTCTCATGTGTAAAACAGTACCCCTATGTACAGGTTTTATGGCATTTTGGGAAGTTACAGGGTCAAATATAGCACGTACATTTGAAACTGAAATTCGCCAGATTGGTTACGTTGCCTTTGAGACTGTATAGTAGCCCAGGAATTAAATTTACACCCATAATGGCATACCATTTGCAATAGTAGACAACCCAAGGTATTGCAAGTGGGGTATGTCCAGTCTTATTTGGTAGCCATTTGGTCACAAACACTGGCCAAAGCTAGCATTAGTATTTGTTTGTGTGGACCGCCGGCGACCGGGTAAGTAAGAAAAGACCGGAGGGCCTAAAATAGGGCGTAATTGTACGCCCTCCGGTCTTAAGGGGTTAATCAATTTCCAGAGAAAGAGACATCTGTGCACATGTCATGAGAGTGGATTAATGGAGGATCCTGCCATCTTACAGATTCAACCATAGACCTCCTGCTGTACTTTGCACATCTAATGTCCCATTGTACAGCGCTGCGGAACTTGTTGGTGCTTTATAAATAATAATATTGACAGCTGAAGATGGATGAATTGAAGACAGTAGAAAGATGTAGTGCCCATGAGGGAGAGCTTCAGGTTAGTATATTTACCTTCAGCCTCCCTTCCCTGTGACCACCCACCAAAATATACAAAGACCCCAAAAGTGACAGAACTGCTTTAAGGTCTCGAACCAGCAGTACCCGGCTTCTTCTGACTGTAGTTATTATTTTATACATTGCTAACCACAAAATATAACACTGTTAATAAAATTTTAGATCATTTGTCAAATTGTGTCTTTTTTTGAAGAAGTTCTCTGGCTAGGTGTATAATTGTGTTATTGTAGGGAAAGTACAGACTCTAAGGTCTTATCTGGTGCGGCAGAAATCGACACACTGGATCTTTAAACATAAAGGCGTTACCAAAATAGGGACTAGTGGTTTACTAAATACATTTAGTGATGATTAAAAATGTATTCCAATGATCTCTAATCTCACTCATAAATAAAATGACCAAACCTTGTGTAAATGCCCTTTCAAATGGATGAATTCGGCTCTTTTAGACACACCCATTGCGCACGTTTCTATATATCCAAGCACACAGACACGGACAGACAAAGAATTTGAATCACATGGAATTTTAACATCACAGGATGCCACCATTCCAGCTGGTCAACACATCAAATATCTAAATCTGCTCCTTTCTAATATATACAGTAATGGTAGGCAGAACCTGCAATCATCGCACAGTATGGGAAGTGGAACAAGAATCACTATTACTGGACTATGGAGCAAGTAAAATGCTTTCTTGGAATGTCGGATCCAGTTTTAGCAGTTGATAGTCCAATGGGCAGCTCTTGGATTAATGTATTTCAGGGAAATGGCACTTGCCTGACTGCAAAGTGCCAACTGTGAAGTCCGATAGGGAATATTTCTGAAGTTATTTCATGCTTTGGCCTGGATATCGTCAGGAAGATCACAGCAAGATCTTAATGCCATTAGAAAATACTTTTTCGTCTCTCGGCATGACAATACTTCTCTACTTAAAGTGCCGTCCATACAGAAATGAACAGTAGTAACTGGAGTGGATACCACGAGGGAAGTCTGAACTTTACCATTGGAATACCATCCGCGTGCTACTCCCACTGTGCCAACATTGGTGCCCAGTCTCAATAATCATTTTGGGAATGCACTGCCAGTAGCAATATTTAATCAATTAACATGGCGGCCGTGAGAAGAGTGGAGGTTATTTTAGAATCAGAGCTAGGAGGATTATATTGGTGGAGGATGTTGAGGAAGAGTGGAGGATTATGTTGGTGGAGGATGTTGAGGAAGAGTGGAGGATTATATTGGCGCTCGTGATGGTGGAATGAGATAGGTGACAACGCAGTTAGCCATGTAAAACATCCGAGCTGTCGTCCATTTTATAATCCCTTGTTAGTCTATTTCCATGTGAAACAGTTAAAGATTTCCCTCCTTCAATTTTTTTATACAAATATTTAGAGCCAACACTGAATGGAAGCACAGCGCCAGAGGACTCCAGGCACTATAACAACTTTAATGAGATGGAATAATTAAAGTGCCTGGATGCTGTCCCTTTATCAAATAACTCCCACTCGCCTCATCCTCCTCTAGCTGTACAGCAGCTAGAATGGAATCATTAACTAATTTATAAATATTGAACACCTCTGCCCCTGGCCTCATGTTGGATTAACAAAATCATCCCCAAGTCTACTAACCAAACAATTGGAGAACCATGGGACTATTAAAGCATAGCACCTTACATGCATAGGAAAACGGGGAAAAACAAACAAAAAAGAATAAAATCACTTTGAAATAAAACAGTATTGACCCAAGTTGAGAGCTTCCATGTTGTTCTGAGGGACTCTCACAGCCCAAGTCTCACTCCCAGCAGTGACATCATCTCCACGCAAATTATCTGTCATGAATCAGAAACGGTAAATGATGTGATATTATAATCATTCCATCAAACTCGCCTATAACGAAGCCTTTTATCACCATATTGAATGCCACTGTCAGCATTGGCTCACATTTCATAATTTAATAACTGTGCCCTCATTACTTTCATGACAGAGCAAATTCTTTTAAATGATTTATTTCTGTGAACCCAATACCAAATGGAGCAACCGAAAACCACATCTCAAGGAAGAGCACCAATGCCAGATATGGAATGTTCAACCTTAAAAAAGTATAATTTCCATTAAATCTGTTACATATTTCTCAAAAATATCTCACACTATATCCATGGACACGCCAGAGACATATGTAGGACCTATACACTGATATCATGTCAAAACCAGATGATAGCGGGAGTTGAACACTTGTGAGGGTACAAGATAGATATGTACAAGGTAGATAGGAATAAATTGGCGGTCAGAAGCTGATGACTTGACTCAATAGGCCTAAACTAAATTAAAGCAGCATTGTCATGCCGAACTTACCTTTCTTAAATCGCTTCCTCTTCTCTCCCTCTGTCAGGATCTGTTCTTCTTTTCTTCCTGTCTGCTCTAGTTTTCTTTAAAACATAAGACAAAGTAAGGACTACTTTGTCTTATGGAGGTTTCCTACGCCTGACCATCTCTGACCAGCGGAGGAGCAAAGTGTGCTTCATTTCCGGTGGTCAGAGAAATTTCACCATAATTCTAAGCTTTCCTCCCTGTTCCCGCGATACTTCCTGTCAGTATTCCCGAACATCCTGTCATTTAGACAGGACGTCGGCAAAACTTCCGAATTGCGTCCTAACAGAATGAGAACAGTTTGTTCATTCCTGACGCTAAAAAATGTAATCCATCTTCACCCAGTTAGCGTGGGAAAGTTATTTGGCATTTTCATTTAGGGCCCCCATCCGCCGCTCAGGGGTGGGGGCCGTAGGGGGAGGACAATAGGTCCCCCCCCTCATTTTCCTTTATTGCCCCCACCGCTCAGGGGTGGGGGTCAGGGGGCAGACAATGGGTCCCCCCACCTCATTTTCCTTTATGGCCCCCACCCGCCGCGCAGTGGTGGGTGCCGGGGGGGAGGACAATAGGGTTTTTTTTTTGGTTTTTTTCTAACAGTGAGCAGCTGCAGGCTGCTCACTGTTTATTAGACATGCCCCTACTCCCAGTATAGCAAGTAGAGGCATTGGGGAGATTTTACACAGAGTGAAGGGGGACCTGGGGGGCTTTGAAGGTGGTGGGGAGCACTGCTCCCTGCCGCTTCTATCTTTACATTTTACAAGGATGGAGCTGTGCGCCTGTAGCTCCCTCCTTGTAATAAACTGAACAAACAAACGAACACCGATATTCAGTGTTTGTTTGTTCATCTGACATTTCTATTCATTCGTTCGTCTTTCTGATGAATGAATGAATAGATGAAATTCCCATTCACATGCCTAGGTGTTTAACTGCTATCTAGTGTGGGCAGATGATGTGTCTCACAAGGCCTTCATCTACCCACACAAAGATGGCGGCACCCAGAACCTAGGTCCGGGCACAAAATAAAGTTAAAAAACTAGGTAATATGGGGAGCTTAGGGTAATTTGGGGGTGATAACGGGGTCAATTAGATGTAGTGGAGTCAGGAGGGGGGTTAAAAAAAAAACACGGGATTCGGCCATGACAGTGCTGCTTTAGCAATGTTATAGGGACACTATAGACACCGAGACCACATCAGCTCATTGAAGGTCTGGGTGCAGTGTCCCATCACCCTTAACCCTGCAAATGTAATTATTGCAGTTATTGCGAAACTGCAATAATTACTGTGACGGAGCTCCTGTACTCCGACCGAGTACCTACGCCCAGTCCGCTTCCTAGCCACTTGCAGGGACCCTGGAACACTTCTGCCACGTTGTAGCAGTTTAACTGGGGTCCTTCTGGAGCTTTTACACCTGAACAGTCAGCAGCTCTCCTTCCAGGTAGATATCATCCCCTCTGCCTATTCCGCAACAGCCCTTCTTCCAGGCAGGTATCGTGCCCTCTGCCTATTCCGCAGCAGCCCTTCTTCCAGGCAGGTATCGTGCCCTCTGCCTATTCCGCTGCAGCTCTGCTTACAGTGATTATAGTTATTGCCTTTACAAAGGCAACTGCAGCTCTCAGGCCTAGCTCTCTTGATTCATCCCAGGGCTACAACAACACGCACACAGGTCCGAAGACTGTCACTAGGATCCCTTAAAATCCACACAGGACACAAGTTCCAAAAGGAACTGTCATACAAAACTTGGAACTAGCCGATATGATCATAACATTTAGATTGCTGTGACAAAGATAATAATTGCATAATAACATATTTATAAAGGAATGGGGAAGACAATAATTAGAAAATGCAAACCTACCCAAATGTGCAAATTAGCACGCCTTGCTATTCAGGTAGTGCATATAGTTGTTGCTAGATCCTTGCAACCAACAGGTGGCACTGCACATACTCTACAACCAAATTCACCTAGTTGATTGCAAGCATTAGCAAGACAGGAGAGCACACTAACATTTAACCCCAAACACACATTACACACACACCCTGCACTTACAATGGACACAGGGTGACTTAAACATCAGTATAGTCCAGGGCTCTACATAAAACGTCCTTATGAAACCACAGGTGATGGTGACTACTGTCACAATTACTATCCAGGGTTAAATTCACCTCTAGTGGCTGTTTACCAGAGGCTGTCTACTATGGGGACGTCCGGGTTGTTAGGCAAGTTTTGGTCGTCTGACACGACATTCTCACGCCCTACATGAGGACATCCAGAGTCACCCAAAACCCCATAGCAAAGCATTATACATAGGAAAGTTGTGCAGTCGCCACACAAGGAGGAGCGAAGGCGGAGCCCGACTCAGCGCTGAGGAAGTCCTGCGCTGGATTCAGGTAAGTGATAAAGGGTTTCAGAGCTGGGGATGGAGGGGTTGCGTGAGCAAGGAGGGCACTATAGGGAGCTGTTTCTATTCCTTCCCTATAGTTTGCCTTAATATATAAAGGACCCAGGTAGCTTTTTATATTATTTATTGGTTACCAGGAGGCGTCAGAAAATATACTGAGCCCCCGCAGCACCCAGCAAATGGCTGATCTCCTGAGGCATTTATCGGCAGGCATAGATCACACCAATGTCTTCTCTCTGCCATTTAGGAGTTAGGTGACTTTGTTTATACACCTCCCCTGGCTCACACTCACACAGTCTTCCTAAATGCATCTTGTAGAGAGAAAACCACTGTTTACGCGTCCCTTATTGCACCGTCTGTTTTATATAGAATGTCTTGCCTTCTGCTCTGTTAATAGCCTTCTAGACCCTGCATGAGCCTTGTGCGTGTGATTAAAGTTCAATTTACAAAGCTAAGAGTAAAGAAAGTTAAGATCTAGTTGAAAATGAAACATTTTGTTTTCATGCAGGCTGTGTCAGTCATAGCCAGGGGTGGTGTGGCTATGGCTGCCTGGACAGAAACAAAGTGATTTAACTCCTAAATGGCAGAAAATTGGGCAGTGAGACTGCATAGGCATGACCTATACACCAAAATCTGCTTCAATAAGCTAAATAATTATGATTCCTATAGTATCATTTAAGTTATCAGTTATATCTGTTTATATCTGACAACTGATCAGCCCCATTCAAGTGAGGATATGAAATGAGAGAGTACAGTCCCAAATCAGACGTAGCCAAAGCTTTCATTTTCCAATTATTTTTATTATTTCAATTCGCCACTAGAGGGCATCTCCATCACAGAAAATACATAGAGTCATACAGAAAGAGACTGGTAGCAGGACTTAGTAACAGAGATATGCAGTGGTAGCAGAACTCGCCTATCAGTACATTTCACCAAGCTTACTGACACCTATTTATTTGCTGGCTAGTCTGCAAGAACAGAGCAACAGTTACTCTTCTTTTTCAATTGATATTTCATTGAGGGCTAAAACCCTTCATTTTATAGAGGTGGTTTTTATATTGAAAAAAAAAACTTGAAACATATTTCTAATTTTAGCCTTTGAGCACTTTGTCCTAAGTAATCCTATTACAGATTGTTTGCAAGGTTTTTTTTGCAGAAAACATTTGCATATCTCTTGCCATCGGATCATCTTTAAAGGTCACTCCAGACCCCTAAAGCACTTTAGCTTCCTGAAAAGGTTTATGTATGAAGAGTGTGTCTTATATTTATCGTTTTGCAAAAAGTGCAGCTTTCAATAGAAACTGACACTTCTATAGATTAACCTGGTTACCCTTGTCTTTTCGAGCAGAGAACAGGTCCTGCTATTTCCTGCTTTGGTTAGCTTAGTTGCACTGAACTCAAGAGGCAGCAATTGCCCAGAGCACCTGCCTTACAAAGACTTCTTATTGATCTGCATTGGGAAGTCTGTGATTGGACAGACACAGAAAGTCTGGGCGGGGTTAGAAGGGGAGGGCTTGCAAAGGCTGCAGACAAGAGATCTGTAACTTTTACAAGCGGTTTTTAGATATAACTTCGATATGAGAGTGCATAATTAAATACATTAAAGTTTTAATGTGGGGTATATCTACTAAACAGTGATTTTTATTTATTTTGCATTTGTGCAGTTGGAGTGCCCATTTAATTTATACTGAGGAAAGAGAGAAATGTATGTTGATCACTAATAAGCCTAGAATATTGCAAAAATGACAATAGGAGCCGCACTCATTCCCAGCAGCCACCCGGTGCTCGGAGCAGGACTAGCAGTCCCACAACGATAAGGCAACACAAGAAATTCTCCAGGCAATCAAGGTGTTCACGACACAGGCGGTTTTAATAGAACAAAAAGGAGCAGCAACGTTTTGACCTGCTATGAGGTCTTTGTCCTTTTTGTTCTATTAAAACTGCCTCCGTCGTGAACACCTTGAGTGCCTGGAGACTTTCTTGTGTTGACTAATAAACCTAGTGACAATTAATACGTCAACATGGGCAACATGGTCTAAGCCTATTTCAATAGACAGTTTACAAATGAAGTGAAATCCCACAAAGTGTCATAACTTCAAAAATTGCCTTTGTGATAAAACATCACTTTTATTGTGTATCTTATAATAGTGTGTCAATCATGAAAACAAGACAAAAGGAGACAAAAAAAATGATAAATAGAATTCAATATGTGAAGTGATTGGTAAATAGTGCCACACAGACTGATGGGGGAGCAAAGTGTAACATTGTACCTAAACCTACTGCGTACTGAGTGGGCATTCCAGCATCATGTAGAACAACGTGCTGATAAACTATTACAGAATTTACACAATACAAAAGATCTAGCAGTTTGTAACAATTTAACAGAATCTCTGACTATACTGAGCTGCTGCTGTGAACATTGCAATACTGTAAAATTGTTATTGATTCCAACTGTGTAACTTCACCTGAAAACTGGCAAAATGGCAACTTTTATAGACATGGAAAACAACCCGAATTGTAACACCTCATATAGCTCTTTAGGGAGCTTGCTGTAAGCTTAAAGGGAAACTATAGCCACCAAAACAACTTTAGTTTAAAGGGACACTATAGCCACCAAAACAACTTTAGCTTAATGAAGCAGTGTTGGTGTATAGACAATGCCTCTGAAGTCTCACTGCTCGATCCTCTGCCATTTAGGAGTTAAATCACTTTGTTTTGGTTTATGCAGCTGTGACGATATGGCCCTGGTGCCTATTGCCTGCAGAGGTCCGTGGGTTTCTTTGCCTAACCTGCAATGCTAACTGCTCAACAACGCCCCACGGTTATGTTTGTTTGGTAGCTGACTTACCAGCAACCCAGGATATGTGTGTTCCACTGACAATACACGTCAATGACTATGACTCCTTAGCAAGATTTAAACATGCATGGATCCAAGACAGTAAAAAAACCTCAGCAAAGAGACACGACACGCTTCTTACTGGCCACGTTGTAAAATCCATTTTATTTCTGAGCCCCCAGACAGCACACACACGTAATGTATTTACACCAATGAAAATACAAACAGGGATGGGATACCATAGCTCTGACTGAGGGATGTAAATGAATCCTCAGGGGTCCTGTGTTCTTATCCTGGGACACAGGAAATGAATCCTCAGGGGTCCTGTGTTCGTATCCCGGGACACAATATCCTTGGAGATTCTCCCCCTCCCTGTGCACTTCAAACAAAGATCGAGTGTCTGTAAAACACATATTGAATTTGCCCTCATTTTTTGGAAAAACCTTTAGGGCTCACAATGCTGCTGAAACTATAACTAATAAATACACCAACTTTGTCACAGCAGCCCTAGTCATACCCCCCCCTGGCTGTGACTGACACATCCTGCATGAAAACAAAATGGTTTCATTTTAATCCGACATTTACATAGAATTATAGAATGTGACGGCAGATAAGAAGCATTCGGCCCATCTAGTCTGCCCAATTTTCTAAATACTTTCATTAGTCCCTGTCCTTATCTTATAGTTAGGATAGCCTTATGCCTATCCCACGCATGCTTAAACTCCCTCACTGTGTTAACCTCTACCACTTCAGCTGGAAGGCTATTCCATGCATCCACTACCCTCTCAGTAAAGTAATACTTCCTGATATTATTTTTAAACCTTTTCACCTCTAATTTAATGTCCTCTTGTTGTGGTAGTTTATGGATGTAACTTGCTTTAAAGGTTTTTATCGCCTGGTTTGTAATTTGAACTTTAACCACATACAGGTTGTTCCCGCAGCATCTAGAAAGCTATTACTACATCAGGAGGTAATACATTATACATTAAGGAGTATTTACAATAAAGTATGTGTACAAATTAGATTATTCTTTACAGGCAGTGTAACTTCCTGCAGGAAAACAAAATGGTTTCATTTTAATCAGACACTGATTAAGGCTGTGTAAGTCACATGCAGGGAGGTATGTCTAGGATTGCATAAACAATGTGATTTAACTCCTAAATGTGAGGCTGCAGGGGCATGTTCTATACACCAAAACTGCTTCATTAAGCTAAAGTTGTTTTGGTGACTATAGTGTCCCTTTAATGTAAAAAAACCGTCTTTATCTGGGATCCTCACAGGGTGCGTTTATAAGAATACACATACCACAGTGGGCCACTCTCTTCCATCTAACCAAATCCATACTCCCCCAACACTGGCATCATATGAAGCTGAGAAAAGGCTCAGAGAGTGGCCCACTGTGGATTAGTCAAACAAAACTCAAAATGTTTGACAATTTAAAAGTGGATGGGAAGGGAGCAGGGCTTTCCTAGCACCATGAACACTACAGCACAATGTAATAGTTAGGGTTCTTGGGGTGTCACTGTAATATGCAGATGGGATATTTCTTTGTTTAGTTGTGTCTGCGATGCTAGCTATCTACATGTTTTTTATGTTCTCTATAATCAAAGTTATTTGACCAAAAATCATCACTAATCCAATGTGTCCGTTTTTTTCCCAGAAGGAAAAGAGCGATATGAGATATATAGAGAGACGGGGTCATCTGTACAGATTCCAGGCATGAAAATCCGAGACAACGATTACCATGAACTGAAAAAATCTGATGGGAAAACTGAGTTTGTGGCAATTTACCATGGATCGCCACAGCTTCACCAGGTTTATGAAAACCGTGGCCTCCTGAAAAGTGGTTTCTTTTTGCTTAACAAGCTGATGAAGGAGGACAGCGCGGTCTATTCATACTATGTAAATAACAAAATCCAAGCTGAAACCCGTCTAATTGTGCTCGGTAAGTCCTGAATCTGCAATTATCATTTAGATGTCTAAATAATATGAATTGTACCTGTCTGATATATGGTAAAAAAAACATTGTCATTGGAGATATAGTGAGGGAAGAGTGAGGATATAGCATTGTCATTAGAGATATAGTGAGGGAAGAGTGAGGATAAAGCATTGCGATTGGAGATATAGTGAGGGAAGAGTGAGGATAAAGCATTGTATTGGAGATATAGTGAGGGAAGAGTGAGGATAAAGCATTGTGATTGGAGATATAGTGAGGGAAGACTGAGGATAAAGCATTGTGATTGGAGATATAGTGAGGGAAGACTGAGGATAAAGCATTGTATTGGAGATATAGTGAGGGAAGAGTGAGGATAAAGCATTGATTGGAGATATAGTGAGGGAAGAGTGAGGATAAAAGCATTGCGATTGGAGATATAGTGAGCATTGGATTGGAGATATAGTGAGGGAAGAGTGGATAAAGCATTGTCATTGGAGATATAGTGAGGGAAGAGTGAGGATAAAGCATTGTCATTGGAGATATAGTGAGGGAAGAGTGAGGATATAGCATTGCGATTGGAGATATAGTGAGGGAAGAGTGAGGATAAAGCATTGTGACTGGAGATATAGTGAGGGAAGAGTGAGGATAAAGCATTGTGATTGGAGATATAGTGAAGGAAGAGTGAGGATATAGCATTGTGATTGGAGATATAGTGAGGGAAGAGTGAGGATAAAGCATTGTGATTGGAGATATAGTGAGGGAAGAGTGAGGATAAAGCATTGTGATTGGAGATATAGTGAGGGAAGAGTGAGGATAAAGCATTGCGATTGGAGATATAGTGAGGGAAGAGTGAGGATAAAGTATTGCGATTGGAGATAAAGTATTGCGTCATTGGAGATATAGTGAGGGAAGAGTGAGGATAAAGTATTGCCATTGGAGATATAGTGAGGGAAGAGTGAGGATATAGCATTGTCATTGGAGATATAGTGAGGGAAGAGTGAGGATAAAGTATTGCGATTGGAGATATAGTGAGGGAAGAGTGAGGATAAAGCATTGTGATTGGAGATATAGTGAGGGAAGAGTGAGGATAAAGCATTGTGATTGGAGATATAGTGAGGGAAGAGTGAGGATAAAGCATTGCGATTGGAGATATAGTGAGGGAAGAGTGAGGATAAAGTATTGTGATTGGAGATATAGTGAGGGAAGAGTGAGGATAAAGCATTGTGATTGGAGATATAGTGAGGGAAGACTGAGGATAAAGCATTGTGATTGGAGATATAGCGAGGGAAGAGTGAGGATAAAGCATTGTGATTGGAGATATAGTGAGGGAAGAGTGAGGATAAAGCATTGTGATTGGAGATATAGTGAGGGAAGAGTGAAGATAAAGAATTGTGATTGGAGATATAGTGAGGGAAGAGTGAGGATAAAGCATTGTGATTGGAGATATAGTGAGATATAGGGAGGGAAGAGTGAGGATAAAGCATTGCGATTGGAGATATAGTGAGGGAAGAGTGAGGATAAAGCATTGTGATCGGAGATATAGTGAGGGAAGAGTGAGGATAAAGCATTGTCATTGGAGATATAGTGAGGGAAGAGTGAGGATAAAGCATTGTGATCGGAGATATAGTGAGGGAAGAGTGAGGATAAAGCATTGTCATTGGAGATATAGTGAGGGAAGAGTGAGGATAAAGCATTGTGATTGGAGATATAGTGAGGGAAGAGTGAGGATAAAGCATTGTCATTGGAGATATAGTGAGGGAAGAGTGAGGATAAAGCATTGTGATTGGAGATATAGTGAGGGAAGAGTGAGGATAAAGCATTGTCATTGGAGATATAGTGAGGGAAGAGTGAGGATATAGCATTGTGATTGGAGATATAGTGAGGGAAGAGTGAGGATAAAGCATGTGATTGGAGATATAGTGAGGGAAGAGTGAGGATATAACATTGTGATTGGAAGAGGGACGAGTGAGGGTAAGAGTGAGATATAGTGAGGATATAGCATTGTGATTGGAGGATATAGCATTGGGATTGGAGATATAGTGAGGGAAGTGTGAGGATAAAGCCTTGTCATTGGCTAGAGGGTAGTGGTACATTCTTAGCCTAGCCATGAGCAATATCTTCTTGAAATTATTTGGTGGATGGCAATTACAGCACAATGCTTGAGACAAAGTGTGTTGTCATTACAGATCCAGTGGAGAAGCCCGTCCTTCAGAAAACTGAAGAGGTAGTCAATGATACGTGTTGGATTGTGCTGCAATGCATGGGATCTGGAGAACACTTAAATGTCACTTTCTGGAAATCTGGACTGCAAATCGAGAATGTCAACCTGAGTGTCAACAGTACCTCCTTGTATCTTAACGGATCCGACCCACAAACCTCAGGAAGGTATTCTTGCCAACTTTCAAACCCCATTAGCCACAGAATGTCGGATGAAGTCCATGTTACAGGTGAATTGAAGCACTACGCATTTATTATTGTTTTTACTAGAATTTTATAAAGTGTCAGCATATTACACAGCGAGGTACAAAAAAAGACACAACAATATGTATAAACCAATAAAAAAGGTAAAGAGAACCCTGCCCATGAACTAAGATCTAGCCATATAAGCTATTTTAGGCAAAATACTTAGCTAGGTAGCACATTAGCTTGCACTCTATATACTTGTGTGTGTATATATAAAATACAGAATCCAGCGCACTCGCTTATTCACTAAACAATATTTCAAATCTTAGAGATTGTAATAAAAACACCTCACCTAGGCAAAAAATAATGGGGGGGGGGTTTAGTTACATTATATGATCATATATTGCATAAGCCTGCCACAACGTCAATGCACTCCATTCTTGGCAGGTCCTACTCTGACAGCAGTCTAATGCTTTCTCTTATGAGATGAATCTTACTTACTTGGGAAATACTTCCTTACTGGGACTCTCTGCAAGTCAAGGCTAAATAGGGTCCTGGAATGAGGCACCAGTGACAGGGAGGGGTGCAAAACCAAGGAGTTAGCCTGGACTCCCAAATAGGTGAGGTGTTTTTTAAATAAAACTATTACAATCTCTAAGATTTGAAATCATTGTTTAGTGAATAAGCGAGTGCGCTGGATTCTGTATTTTGTATATTTTGACCCCAGCAGCACCCTATAATGTATGCATGTTCAGGTGAGTGCAGCCCTCTTGGTTTTGGTTTTATTTGTGTGTGCATATATATTTATATATTTGTGTTCAGGGCAACATCGATTATGGTTAATGCAAGACTGTATTATGGCGTAACCTGTTATAGGAAAAAGTCGGTTGAGGTGTTTCCCGAAAACCAACGATTATTCAGTAGACCTGTATTTAAAATGTGTTGTAAATTGTTTTAAACATGTAAATGACTACCAATATATACCTTGCAAACAATTGGTGGGTACCACAAGCGACTTAGACAAAACCAGGTGGCATGAATGTGAAATTATCAGCATATGACGTCAACCATAACCTAACAGAATTAAGGGAAATAGCAAATTTGTAATAATGAAGAAACTCTGGAAAGTAAGTGAATCATGAACCTGTCACATGTATAAGCCCCTGTTGCCTGAAATTAATGGGATAGCCCAGGGACCGGTAAGTGATTAATATAGCGAGGGCCAAGTTGATAAAACCAACTTATATAGGGGAAATAACAGAATGGAAAGGGTTGAGAACCGCAAAAGTATCAATACTGAAGAAAACAGAAAGTAGCAAAAGCAACTAGCATCAGTATCAACAAGAATATATGATGAAAATGATCTACAAGGACCATAACGGTGGACAAGTCAAGCTAACAAGTGTATGAGTAGTAAACCAACAACCCCTAATTAGTATGACTAACCAAAGTAATTTTTGTTAGCCAATGAGTCCCAAGAGGGTTGTAGTTAATGTAAGTACAGTGTTAATTTACATTTGTAAACCATATGTGTAGGTCCGTAGGTCCAAGTTGGGCCTGACATGATTAATCCAGTTAATAGCGACACTTGTAGCGCCATGTAGGGGGCCAATTCAATCTTATAAAAGTCGATATGTCCCAGTAATAATGATGTCGTCACAATAATCACAACTTACCTATATCTTAAGTCACTTATTAGTGTAAAAAACTTTCAGACTGAAAGTCAGATAGCATGACATAAGGTCTCAGTGCTCAGTATTGAATTGTGTTATGATTGTATGCGTATGGAGGACCCTGCGAGGGTCAGTGTCCTGATGACAGCATGGCTAGACAACGTGTTTATAGTATTTCCTGTCTCTCATTTATTTACCCCTTAGAGGACAGGAGTGCTGAGAACGTTGCATGGAGGTGTGTGTAGCTTGAGCAACTCGTGCCTACTCCAGCATCAGCATTGTCGGAATTGATACACAAGAGCCTATCAGTTCTGCTCTCCTGGCTGTTGCAGGGAAAGGAACGGTGCGTCTGCGTAGCTCAGACGTAATACGAGGAATAGTCCATAACCTGATAACAGCAGGGCTATAGGTATCACATGTTCACGTAGGTGTAGTGGGCCAGACAAGAGTACTGGGGATTGACATGTCCTCACCTTCACAGGGATCTGGGCATACTGCAACATAGTAATAATTAGCTTGGATAAGGATCGTTTTACTGGCTGGCTAGCTGGTGCCAAGGGGTGAAGTAATTCATTAGGTTGGTGACAGGTGAGTCCCTGCTGGATGCCAAGTAGCTTGAGAGGCTCTATCTATGCTTTGGCGCGAGGGGATTTGTGGCCACCGAACGTTGCGGCAGGATATTGGCCTCTCAGTGACATTTAAAGCATAAGATAGATTGGGTGTGACAAGTGAGTCCCTCTCTATGCAACTGTGTGAGGCGACTAACTATGTTTTGGCCCGAGGGGCTTAATACCTCATACATGAAGGATGGGTGTAGGCCTCACGGGCCCACTAACTCTAAAACAGAGATGCCAGAAACTTAACATCTGTTGGTCACCTAGATCCCTATAAGCCAGTAAAACCTACTCACTAAAAGGTCTATATAGCGGAATAGCCATTGTGGCTAGCAAAGTACCTGAATTTGTATAAGAGCTTGTGCAGGTTCTGTATGGTATGGTTGTAGAGGGGAATTAAAGGTCTTTAACCTAAAATTATGACAAGGACGTGTATACGTATTATTAAGCAAGTATTATCCCTGTAGTTGAAACCTACCTACTGAAATTGGAAATTGGGAACAAAGAGCAAATGCTGCTCTGAAAATTGATGACCCCGTGATCTGTACTAGACTGTACATTCCATGAGACTTACCAGATATGCTTATTGGCTGGCCTGCAGACAGTGCAGGAGTACACCTGTATATGAGATGTAAACTCCATGAAACCGATTACCGCATCTGTCCTTTGATCAAACGTCTTTCAAATGTATTTGACCGTCAGTATAGACTAAATCTCATTAGTCATATCTATATCTAGGATAAATGTAGACAGATATGGACAGGTGTCAAGTGCACAGCAGGTACAAATAGCGTTATACTTCAAACTTACCAGTGCAGCATCCTTTGTGCTAGGTATATGACTGCTGAGACCTGCACAGTGCAGTAGGAAACTTTAGAACCAGTAAATGACCTACCTACGGAAAGAAACGTAACCTGATGAAGTAGGAGTAAAATAGACAGACAAACCTAAAATTTAATGACAATATATTAATAATTATAAACAGGTGACAATATAGGTATAATATAACATGAGACATATCATATGACCATACCCGGACTTAACCATTTGTTTATAAGGATACCTACTGTGGTAATAGATATAGAGCATTAGAGCGATGCATGTTATGCAATGGTCCAATTTAGCAACCCATACAACAGGAAACACTCTTGATCTTGGCTTCACCAACCTCTGTACTGCCTCTAATCACTCCAATCTTCCTTTTCCTCTATCTGACCACCATCTGCTGACTTTTGACACTGGCATACCTGTAGTGGAGAGCTGGTATTACACAGCCTATCTCCACTTTGGATCCCAGTGAGGCTCAGGAACAAGCAATTATAAATCCATAGGGCAAAGTATCCAGCAGGCAGAATAACACAGCAGTATCCCAACAGCACTCCCAATAACTGGACAACACACAGTATCAGGAGCAGAACTAAAGATTTATTCAGACAGTGGCCTTATAAAGCATGCTCCCATGCAAGGGAGGGATTTCCATTCATTAGTACAGTAGCCAATCCTGTTCTGGTAACCTCCCACACATCTCCTCCCCTCAGCCTGCATCATAATCCCCTTATCCAGGACACCAATTCACCCTGTTTCTGGATGTACCCCTAAACCTAGGGGTACCGCCTTTAATTATACATCCCCTGGTAGCCCTGATCTGGGTGAACAACATATCCAAAAATCACCCAGATCAGACCAGGGGTTCGGGAAATTTATGGAGGGAATAAAATGACCGACCGCGCTGGAAAGAGTAGCCAAATTGGGTTCCATGCGATGGGGCCCTGCGGTCGGTCCTGGAACAAGGGAATAAATTACACAAAAGCCTCCAGTTACAGAGACTAGGGAGGGTTCGCCTGAATCCCCTCGTTCGGTTGTTTCTGTCTACCAAACGAGGGTCCGTTCGGTAGTTTGGAACCGAATGGACCGGGCTTGTGGAGGTCTCAGCGGTGTTCGCCTAGTCGAGTGTCCGATTTGAGTTCCAGACACTCGACGGCAAAACACCGCTGTTCGGGAGTTTTAAAATGGCCGCCGCCACGTGTTCGTTTCCCGAATGGCGGCCACCCCCGAGAACAAAGGACTACTACTCAGCTTGTCAATTACCCATTCGCAACAATGTTGCAACGGGTAATTGAAGGCACACTTCACACCGGGGAGGTCTGACTGTTCGGTAGTTTCATTCCCTTATTTGTTGGAATGATTCTACCGAACAATCAGACGAATACAATACATTTAACACATATAACTTTGCCATTTACGCGAATGCAGTTAAAACCTCTGTAATTCTCAGGACAGCCCAGTGCCATCCGCTACAATACCTAAGACCCAATTGACACCACCGTCTGAACATCACTCTCACAGAAACCTCCAATATCTTGACCTAGAGTATTTCTCCACTAATCTCCAAACTCTCCTTTTACCTATCTCAAACCTCACCTGTCCTAGTTCTGCAACCTCCTTCTACAATTCCACCCTCTCCTCTCAACTAGACATCATGGCACCTTGTACATTTAAACACCGCAGGCCCCCCCAACAACAACCATGACACACCAAGCTCACTCGATACCTCCAAAAATGCTCCAGAACTGCTGAACGCTGTTGGAGAAAGTCTTACTGTGCATCTGACTTTCTCCACTATAAATTTATGCTGAGCTCATACAGCTTGGCTCTTTCCCCTGCAAAAGTTAATTACTTCAATACCCTCATAACCATACTCTCCCGTGAACCCAAACGACTATTTCAGACATTTAATTCTCTTCTTCGCCCTGCTGTTCCTCCTCCACCTACTAGCTTGACCACCTCAGACTTTGCAACTCACTTCACTGACAAGATCTCTTCAATCAAAGACGAGATCTCTCATCTTTCTTCTTCCCCTACAATACTTCCCCTAACTTCACTCCCTCTGCTGTGTTCATTCACACCCGCTACATTAGAAGAGGTTTCTGCTCTGCTCCAGTCCTCCCGCCCCACCACCTGCTCCCTAGATCCAATTTCCTCGCATCTCATCCGTACTCTGTCTTCTCTTTCTCCTACTCTCACTAAAATTCTCAATCTCTCTCTCTCCTCTGGTATATTTCCATTGCCCTTCAAACATGCAACTGTAACCCCAATTCTAGAGAAGACCAATCTTGACCCTAACTCCCCATCCAACTATTGTCCTATCTCGCTACTGCCTTTTGCATCCAAGATCCTTGAAAATATTGTGTCCAACTCTCTGCTAGACCCGCTTCAGTCTGGTTTCCACACTAAGCACTCTGTGGAAACGGCACTGACCAAAGTATCCAATGATCTACTTGCTGCAAAATCTCATGGTCACTACTCTATCCTAATTCAGCTTCTTCTCATCCTCCACAATATTGGTATACAAGATATTGCTCTCTCCTGGTACTCCTCCTACCTCTCCCAGCACTCTTTCAGTGTTTCTTTCTCTGGCTCTGCTTCTTCTCCCCAACTCATCTCAGATGGTGCCCCCCAAGGTTCAGTCCTTGGTCCACTACTGTTCTCCATCTATACTGCCTCCCTTGGTAAACTCATTAGCTCCTTTGGCTTCCAATATAATTTCTATGCGGGTGACACACAAATCTACCTGTCCTCTCCTGATCTATACCTGTTCCTCTTGACTAGTGTCTCTGACTACCTCTCTGCTGTTTCTAACTGGATGGCTGCCCACTTCCTTAAACTAAACTTGACCAAAACTGAAATTCTGGTCTTTCCTCCCTCAAGTGTTGTCTGTCTCCCTCCAAGTCAACGGTGCTACCATCAGCACCACCACATAGGCTCACTGCCTAGGTGTTCTCTGTGACTCCGCCCTCTCCTTTAAGCCTCATGTTCAATCTATCGCCAAATCCTGTCATTTTCATCTCAAAAACATTGCGCGCATCTGCCCCTACTTAACGCCAGATGCAACTAAGGTGTTGGTCCATTCCACTGTCCTTTTTCGCCTTGACTACTGTAATAGGCTCCTCAGTGGTCTTACGTGCTCCCAACTTGCGCCGTTACAGTCCATAATGAATGCAGTGGCGAGGCTCATCTTCCTGTCCGCCCGCACCTCCCATGCCTCACCCTTCTGTCAGTCCCTACATTGGCTTCCTATAAAATATAAAGCTCAATTTAAAATTCTGGTTCGTGCTTTCAAATCTCTACATAATGCTGCTCCCACCTATCTATCCTCCCTTATACACAAGTATGTCCCGTCTAGGCCCTTACATTCTGCTAAAGACTTATATCTATCTTCTGTCCGTACTCCCACCTCTGATGCTCGCCTTCAAGATTTCTCGAGGGCTGCGCCGTTCCTGTGGAACTCGCTTCCCTCCTCCATTAGATACTCACCCAGTCTCCACTCCTTCAAAAAATCGTTAAAAACCCACTTCTTCATAAAAGCGTATCAATTAAACTGTTAATAGCTCCTGACTGATTCCTCTTCTGCAACTGTCACTAGTCTAATACTATCCTTACCTTTTTGTGTCATTTTACCCCACTCCCTCTAGCATGTAAGCTCATTGAGCAAGGCTCAAAAATATCCGTATAATACACACCTGCAAATGTATTAAATAGTACCAAACATGCGTTTAACATTTATATTTTTTAAAAGCAAGACCATATTTATAACAGGTGTAATACTAAGTATTGAACACTAGAGGGCCACAAGCTGAAATCTTTCTATGCTGTCCGTGCATAACATAAAGATATAGCATAGTGTAGAGAGTTCATGACAAGCGTTCGTGAGAAAAAGGCGGGAATATATCTTATTTATATAGATTCAGCTTGTGACCCTTCAAGAGGATTCGTTGTTTAAAATGAACGAAATCCCAGCAGAACACCCCCACACTATGCAAATGAAATTAAGGACACAAACGCTATTTGCATCTAAATAGAAATGATGAAGCCGAATGGTTGGTAACCATGCAGGCTGAAAGACTGAAAGCTTTCCACGAATGGAGGCTTTGTTCGTCTGGATTAAACCAATGAAAACAAATGAGCAATGAATAATATGAATGAAAAATTATACGAATGCATAAAGAGTAGTATTAAACAGTGATGTCGCCAAGGGAGGGGCCAGTGTGACTGCCAGTCCACAGGGACGGTGGTCAGCAGGTGCTTCTGGTTCAGCAAGCCATACGGGAGGCCGTCAGAGGAGCAGCCTGCAAGAATGGTGAAGGGGAATCCGGACGGGATGTACCAGCAATGCTGAGCAGAATCTGGAGCAGGGGATAGAAGCATTCCACGGACAGATAAGAAGCAAGATGGCGGTCTGCATGCACCGGAAGTAGCAGCATGCAGATCGCCAGACCATTGATGGTACGGTAGAAAAAGGGGGGAGTCCCTTCATAGGTCATACAAGCCCCTTCCACAACTCCAGGCAAAGCCTTAACATATATCTTCAGTGAAGCACAGAACTACATTAAAACATACACACTCATATTTCTTTTAACCCCTTAAGGACACGTGACATGTCATGATTCCCTTTTATTCCAGAAGTTTGGTCCTTAAGGGGTTAATATACTTGGACAATTAATTTTGAAACTGAACTAAAAATGGATACTTAAGGCTCTAGACACTATAGGCACCCAGACTACTTTAGCTCTGAAGTGGTCTGGGTGCAGTGTCCCAATTGCACTTAGTGCTGCAATGTTATCCATTGCAGTTCCAGAGAAACTAGAATGTTTACATTGCAGCACTATGTCTGCCTCTAGTGGCTGTCTACATGCTGAGATAAGGTAAATACATACAGGATTTTTAACCCTTTCTTCACATTGTTGGGGGGCAAGGGGGAGGCAGGTGGAGCTATAGTGTATAGCTTTGTATTCCTGGCACTTATAGTATCCTTTTAATATCTGTGGGATCTGTGAAGTAAAATGTGTTAAAGAATGTTTGGATTGCATAAATATAATATAAAATCCATTAAGAATATAAAGCAAGAAAAGTCAATTGTTTAAACTTTATGACAACACTAGGATAAATAAAAAATTAAATGATCTATTTAAAAATAATACTAAACGTAAATCTATATCTAGTTGGTATGAATTATTGAGAGAGGAAGAAAAATAGTCTAAACCAAAAGCATGGAAAAATTGGGAACAAGAAAGTGGGTCATTAATTGAGTTAGAGCAGTGCTATAGATCAATTCAAGAAGTTAAAAAATCGTTGCATTGTTTAACTATCATAGAGCTCCATTATAAAATTCTTCATCAATGGCGTAGGGTACCAAAGATTCTAAACAGAATCAACACTGATAACCCCAAACTTTGCAGGAGGTGCACTTGTGCTGAATGTAGCTCTAAACATATCTGGTGGGGATGTAAGCTTTTAAGACCTATATGGAATAAAGCATTTCGAGTTAGATGAGACTTCGTGGGAGAAGATTTGGAAGATTACTTAATGGTTGCTCTTTTCCATTTTAATTTAAGGAGATTCTCAACTCAGAATAGATATCTAATAATCCAATTTATGATGGCCATAAAAATAGAAATATCAAGATATTGGCTACAGAAAAAGACTCCATCTTGGACCCAAGTGCTAACTCAGCTTAAATACCAACACGATACGGAAAGGGGAATATCTTTTCACTATGATAGCCACTTAAAATTTGATGAGAAATGGTTACCTTGTTGCGTTCTTTGTTATGAATATCCTTATATATATAAAGATCACTCTAGTTCTTCCCTATGGTACTGTATTGAGGAGAGTTATGAACTAACCTAATTATTATAGTTTAGGCCCGCCTAATCCGCTCAGTCCTTTTAAATTGTGATATTTGTGTTTCTGTGTGTGAAGTTTACTCAACAGTCCAAATATCCTTCTATTGTAAATCTAGTCTATATGTCTAACTCAGAACTGTTCCTGTCTGTATGTTACATATGTAAAATTTACAAAAAGAATAAAAAACCCAAAAAACAGCAATCTAAACATTCTTTAAATGCATTTTACTTTATTGCTTAACTGTTTCTTAAATAATCAGAATTAAACTGATATCTTTTCTCTAAGCATTTGGTGCATGTTTGTTCTCTGGGTAGTGGGATGGATCATGAGCCATAGGTAATGCTTTTAAATTTGAATGTACTAATAGGTACACAGTGTTTAGTTCATCTGATACAATGTGATGTAATGACTGATGTCAGATGACTCGGTTTAGATAAAAAATAAAATGATACGTTTTACAAGCAGTGAATTATGCAGGGTCCTCCACCTCTCTGTTCCTGTACGTCGACTTGTCTGGTTACAATTAAATGTCTGTTAGTCCCACCTTTGTACAGCACTATGGAATCTGATGGCGCTATATAAATAATATAATAATAATAATAATTATGATAATTATTACCAAAAGTGATGTCGTTTCTGACATTTCATGAAATAACTTCCAAAATATTAGTTACTAATTTTTTTTAAATGATTACATGAAAGCAGAATTTTCTGTGTAATCCATGTAGCAATGCGTTATTTAATCTTTTAAAACTTTTTTTTTTACAGATATTGGACAATGTAGAATACCCGGATCTAAATTAGTTCATTTACTGATGATATTACTGGGTATCTTAGGTTTGTCAGTCTTCCTGCTTTGGCGCTTTTGTGTTTGTAAGTATTAAATTGTTGGGTTATAAAATATTCACAAAGAAAACATATTTGACATTGAAATGGGAACACAGAAAAATGTGTAATTTAATTAATCTCTTTGCCGTGTTTTATCATCACAGATCTGAAATCCAGAAAGAAACCAATGAAGAACTTTCTGAATAATCTCATACACGAACATTATTTATCAAACGATGTTGAAGTCAGTTCTGCTGAGAGTCCCTTCCTACCTATTGAAAGTCCACCAGAGCTCAGTAATACTGGGGATTCCGTGGTCAATAATGGAGGAGCACATGAAGTTATCCCTCTTGATGATTTAGGAGAAATAGGACAGAGGTCTGCTGGAGACACCATGGTCAATGACAGAGGACCACATGTAGTTATCCCTCTTGATGATTTAGGAGAAATAGGACAGAGGTCTGCTGGAGATACCATGGTCAATGACAGGGGACCACATGACGTTATCCCTCTTGATGATTTAGGAGAAATAGGACAAAGGTCTGCTGGAGACCCTGTGGCTAATGGATGATATTTACTGAAAAGTTGTAGTGATTTTATTTTCAGGTCTAAAATAGATAGTGATGTTCACTTGCCTTACGTGGTGAGGATCCTTCTTACACTATAATGAAATGGGTATTATAGGAAAGAAGAACATATTGTGGAGACACGATAATAAGACATTGCTAACATTATGAGATGAACATGTGAAGAACAAGGAGAATTTCATCCATGTTAATTAATTAGCAGTGAGGAGGGTAACATAAAGAGCAAATGGTTAAATCCATCTATCGCGATATTAAATTATCAACAAAATTAAGGAAAACCAAATGTAACATGAAGCCTAAATTAACTAATGAAAATGAAAAAACAACAAGCAAACAAACCAAAAACATAAACTACAATCGCTATATAATGTATTGTCACTGAGGTCGAATGATGTCTTATAGCTGCACGAAGCAATAAGCCATCTTGGAAAAACATTATTTTGATGTTTAATTTGTGAGAACTTATATTGAAAGAATCATAAATGAAACATGATAGTTTGGCCTTCATTCTAAACCTTGCTTGTTTCCATTGAATAACAGTTTCTGAGCCTCATTTAATATTGCAATATTGTAATCACAAAAGACAAAAAAAATGCCACGAGCGTTTCCCACCAGTAATGGAGCGCGAATTGTTATCCAATTAAAAACAGGCTTACATTTATTATTAATGCAATTTTGAGATCAGATTGTCAACATTGTTAACAAGAACCCAAATGGGGATTTTAGCTCATATCCTAGCATATCATTTAGTTTTTATTTATTGAATCCTTGATGAGATGGGACTGGAAGATAGTTGGTCTAGCCAAGTCTTTCTTAGAGATTCTACATAGAAATCAAACAAGATTAGAGTTGAAGGCAAAAACAGATTATTCTAATCTCTTAAAATTCAAAGTTTAATACACCTTTAATAAAATCACTGGTCATCTCTAGGATACCTCAAATCCTCCTACAATAAGAGATTTATTAATTATGAAATTATTGATGGCTACAATGACATGTACTAAGTGACGTGATTTAGTTTATCAACATATAATCAAAGTGTATTCGCAGGAACATTACTGCCACATTTTATTAAAGATTTATGGGAGAAGAGAGTGAAGTGAATGAATACCCATTTCATTAAACTCGCCAGTTTAGGTTGTCACCTATTCAATAAGATGGGCATGAAATATAAAGCATTAATACATTAAATACATCTGATGGCACTCGGTTCTTAGTTCAGGCCAAACACCTTTGAGGTTTTTATTCTCAGGGAGTGTATATACTTCTCGTATTATTTATTTAATGTACTAATTCTACAAAAAAGAGTGAACAGCTATCAGTGAGGAAAATGTCTGACAAAACATCTGATTTATGATGAAAACAAGTGACCTGAAAATAAAATCCTACAACTACAAAACAAATAATCTATTGATGAACAAGGGGTCCCCAACATGTATAATAGTGGGTACGAAGCGATATTTGTAGCTCAGTTTAAATGCGGGTTTCGGTACATGTTTTAATCTGATTACGCCAGTTTCTATGTCAACATTTCCACTCACTCACAATACACAGGGGACCCTAGCTCATCAATAATGGTAATATATAAAATGTAAACCATTTAATGAAATTATTATTTAGCATCTATCAACTGATTTCATTTGAAGATTAATATTTAGCATATTACATATATTCTGTTTTTCATTCCATTTCTTCTCCATTTATACACGTGTAATAGTTGCCATATCTAAGCATTGCTTTGGTCTGTGTGCAGGTAATATGACTGGGAAGGAAGCTGAGGGTCATCGATTGGTGGCCACTCAGGGCCATTCACTAAACGATAATATTGTAAAAAATTGCAAGTGAGTTGAAAACTTGAGTCAAAATAGCTGATCTGTAAAAAAGCTAAATTGCAGAAATGTATGATTGACCTCAATTCGCAAGTTTCCATAAATGAAGTATTTAGCTGTTACATGTTCCTTAGCAATATTACTAGTAATAAACATTATTGTTTAATGATTTAATTTCAAAAGTGCATAATACTGCTATTATAATTTATATTGTATGATTTAATTTATTATTGTTAATTATATTATTATACTATTTAAACATTAATAATTTAAATCTAATTTAATCATTAGTAATTTAATAGATTAGCAGTTAATGCTTTTCTCATTTTTTAGCATTCCATACATGTTAAAATGATATCCTTCAAACCTCATTGGCCAACAGGGGTTGGAGAATTACTCTATAGACAGAGACAGGTGGTCAGCATTCGGGCGGATTGGTAAACCGACCAGGGAAACCGCATTCTAAAGTCTGAAACACACAGAGAATAGAAAATTAACCTGACCTGTTTTATAAATGAGTAGGCTCTAAATCATCTTAAAAATGATCTGTACAGAGAGTGCATCCTGTTTTACATTCATAGAAAACATCTAACCATTCCAGAGATGCATTACAGCTCAGTAGCAAATATTTAAAACAAAATCTAAAAGAAGCACAGACCCAATTTCTTAATTTACAGAGCTACGCTCACCTTTTCTTGGCTCATTCCTTTCTACTCTTTGCCCAGTCTCCTGCAAGTTCCCACTTCCAGAGGAAGGGAAAACTCCAGGATGGGGCTGTTTTTTTGCCGTGAGCATTAAACATTAGTTAGTATTATCATGTTATGTGGCGCACAAGTAATTTGTCTTCTGTATGTTTTAGAGTCTGTCTAATTATGCTAATTGATTGTGATAGAAGACAAATCTGGCTAAATACATATAATCAGAATTAGTTTTAGGCTTCGAGGTCTATGAATGACCACATAAATGTATTGTTTTTGTTAAACAATGTTAAATAGTTTTCTTGCATCATCTAAATGTCTCAATAAAGATATTACACAACATTCTGGACCTCAGTGTCTTCTTAGTATTGAACCATTTATCTACCAAACAAAAAATGCTTCACAAACAACCAGAGATCAATTCTAAATGAACTGATTATTGGGAAGAGTTTGACAGGCTATCAGAATATTCAGATCAGACTTAAGGTCTCAGATGTGGACAGCTTTTATCCAACTATTATAAATTCCTTCGGGGTTGGGTGATGAGCCCATTGACCTCATATTCACTGAAAACACATCTCTTGCTTCCATGACAAAAACTATTCTTATCTCAAAGCCTTACTGAAACCTGGAATTTTTGTAATCCCTAATCCCATCACTTAATCTCACGAATCAATCTAGATCTGAAATTTCAGTTTTAGTGTATAGAAAATGCCCCTGCAATTTCACTGCTCAATTCACTGCCATTTAGGAGTTAAATCACTTTTTTTTTATTTGTGCAGCCCTTGTCACACCTCCCCTGGCTATGATTGACAGAGCCTGCATGAAAAAAAAAAAACTGGTTTCACTTTCAGACAGATGTAATTTACCTTAAATAATTGGATCTCAATCTCTAAATTGAACTTTAATCACATACAGGAGGCTCTTGCAGGGTCTAGCAAGTAATTAACATAGCAGGGGATAAGAAAATCTAAATTAAACATAACCTGAGCAGTGAGACTGCAGGGGCGTGATCTATACACCAAAACTGTTTAATTAAGCTAAAGTTGTTTTGGTGACTATAGTGTCCCTTTAAATTACAATAAATGTCTGAGTAAATAAGATACATTGTTCTTGTTATTTATTGCATTTTAGCTGTATAAATTGTAATCTAACATTATATATTTAGCCTTTTTAACATGTTAAATACTAGGGATTCGGTTTCCGTAGCACTATTCCCCTCATTTGAAAAATGTAATTTCTTTCATTCACATGTAAACTAATGCTGCACTTTACAAACCATTTATAGCCTGGAATGATGGCTTCACGTTTACTGTCAACAATCAAGCAATTTAACTCAATTTTACTGTTAATGTAGTGCAGTTAAATTAATTAGTCGGATGTTTCCCTGGAGCCAGAAATGGATTAATACTCAGAGAATCTCAATCTTGATGTCTGTGATTATCGAAATATGTCCTGTGCCACTTTCATTGTTTATTTCTTTCCTGATTCCTCCATTGATTGTAAATAAAATAACGTGTTGCTAACCGGATGTTTGTTCTGTGACCATTTCCTAATATGTTACTAAATCTCATAAACCTCTTCCAGGTAGTGTGTTAGGTCACCTTCATGATGGTGTATGCTTTCTGCATGATTTTCCTGTAACTCTTACTCAGTAGACGATCAGAGCTAAGGGAAGAAACTTCAATACTGCATGCATTCTCTTCAGAACTTAAAGGACAAATACTTGATAAAACAGTTATGTGTTCCTCAGCTAGTTACTTCTCAACTATACAACATTTGGTAAGCTCAAGAGATCTCAAGCAGTGTAGAGAAGTATAGGTTTTGGTGCCAGTTCGATAAGCACAGGAGATCACCAGTGATGTAGAGAAGTATAGGTTTTGGTGCCAGTTCGATATGCACAGGAGACCTCCAGCAGTGTGGAGAAGTATAGGTTATGGTGCCAGTTAGGTAAGCACAGGAGATCTCCAGTGATGTAGAGAAGTATAGGTTATGGTACCAGTTCGGTAAGCACAGGAGATCTCCAGTGATGTAGAGAAGTATAGGTTATGGTACCAGTTCGGTATGCACAGGAGACCTCCAGCAGTGTGGAGAAGTATAGGTTATGGTACCAGTTCGGTATGCACAGGAGACCTCCAGCAGTGTGGAGAAGTATAGGTTATGGTACCAGTTCGGTAAGCACAGGAGAACTCCAGCAGTGTGGAGAAGTATAGGTTATGGTGCCAGTTCGGTAAGCACAGGAGATCTCGAGCAGTGTAGAGAAGTATAGGTTATGGTGCCAGTTCGGTAAGCACAGGAGATCTCGAGCAGTGTAGAGAAGAATAGGTTATGTGTGAGAGCTCCCCGTTGCAGTGGAGGCAGGGAATGGCGCCCAACAGAACCCAGGTAAGAAGTTAAACCAGTCTAAAACAGTTTGGCTACTTACATTGAGATGATGTCAGGGCACTATTGGCACCATAACGAATACTTCTCTACACTGCTCGAGATCTCCTGTGCTTACTGGACTGGCACCATAACCTATACTTCTCTACACTGCTCGAGATCTCCTGTGCTTACTGGACTGGCACCATAACCTATACTTCTCTACACTGCTCGAGATCTCCTGTGCTTACTGGACTGGCACCATAACCTATACTTCTCTACACCAATGGAGATCTCCTGTGCTTACTGCACTGGCACCATAACCTATACTTCTCTACACTGTTCAAGATATCCTGTGCCTACCGAACTGGCACCATAACCTATACTTCTCTACACTGCTCGAGATCTTCTGTGCTGACCGAACTGGCACCATAGCCAATACTTCTCTACACTAATTGTAGAATATTGCATATTCTATGTTTCTATTGATTATATATATATGGATGTGTGGATTGACATAAGTAACAGATGGTATCAATAAGTCACAAGGCTTTCTTTGTCCGAGAGCTCTGGAATGTGGGTGTGGGGGTCTTGTCCTTATATGGCTAGAGTTATATGCTGACGTTAGTATTAGCACATCTATATAGTAACAGAGGGACACGAGGTCGCTCTCACTCTTGGCTTGGCTCTGTACAACGATGTAACTCTCCCATCAGAAGTCCAGCAATTACCATCTGCTGTTGAATGTCTACTATCCTGTAATATCCTTTATTATGTTTTATTATGTATCCGTAACAAAGAATAAACCTGAAGAAACCGTAAGTCAGATTGCGTATTACTACTTTTCAATAATATAGACATATATTATTGTGGCGAGCATTTGGCCCAAGACTATATATACAAAAGACGTATATATATCAATCAACTGAAGATAAGAAGAAATGAAGAAGATTCTACATTAACCCCAATTTCCATTTTAATCAACATTTTTTACATTGGCTAGCCAGCCAGTCTTCTATTCAAGTTTTGTTCCCACTTCAAGGGGGGAGAGAGAAGAATTGAGTTACAAAGCTATTTTGGAACTGGGAAAACAAACTTGAAGAGAAAAAAAGAATCTAGACTGACTGTCATAGAAGAACTGTGTTTGTAAGAAAAAGAAAGTTTTCAAATCACAAAGACTGTACAAGACTATTTTCTACAACTGAGACAAAAAGCACAAGATACAACGTGAATTCTAGAAGCAAGCACGTGGCAGAGATTGGCAAATTTCCAGATTCAAGCAAAGAACTGCGCAGCTGTGTGGATGAAGCAACGAAATAGACAAAGATAACTGATCTGGTAAAGCGTGACAGATCCTTGTGGCAATAAATCAGGAAAGCATTCCTTCAGACAACTGGACATCGACTGTTGGAAAGAGACTTTTCATCTGATCTGCAAACTGTGATGGAAGATTCTACAGAGTTCATTCGATTCAGAAGATTAACAGACTTACAATGAAATAAAAGATTGACACTAACAAATATTAATTCCTAAATATTAATGAAGAAAACAGACAATGAAAAGTTATTTAACAGTTATAAGTATTAATACCAAAAGAGAGTACTTATAACAATATAACACATGGAGTAAAATTATGAAAGGATAGTATTATGAAAAGAACTATTATATTATGACCTATACATAGGATGAGAAGTATCAGAGGTAGATAAAATATGAAGTTGATAAAATAAGGATCATGGTTACTTAATACTACAAAGATTGAGTTCAATAGTATTTCATAGATTAACTATAATGAGTAATTTGTTTATATAGTTGAAGTAAAACAAACAATGGTAACATAAGGAAGAAAACTAGGGAAGGATAATTTATATTGATTAATATTAAGTAATTATATACATTAAGAATGCTTTGGATATAAGAGTTCAGAGATCCAAGAGGAATTGAATTGAAGTTTAGTTAAGAGTATAGTACACAATTATATTTGACCTAAGTCTATAAAGGTATGGACTAGGGAGAATAGGTTTCTGGATATGATGGTATCCAATGAATACGTTGTTAAGATTTCCCTGAGTTTGTTAGACACAGACTAGGAATAAGAGTTTCTGGGCAGTATGACCCCAAGTTTGTTTTATTTTATTTTATTTTAGTCAGTTGAAGTGTACTAAGGAATACGGATTGGTCAGAACATTAGGACAATCCTGCTTTTAAGATGTATTACATTAATAAGTCATCACAATGCTAATGAAGAGAGTGATGCTAATGAATTTAAATTGTTCTTTCCAAGTTCTTTTAAAGTAAACCATGTTTCTGTTGAATGAAAAGTTTGTTACTGCAAGGTGGAATTTTAGTCAAAATTATAATTATGTAAACAAAAACAAATCTATGATAGAAAGATTTCTGGGTGAAGAATTTCTAGGATAATAAGTATTGTCAACACCATGAACATTATTTGAAGAATTATTATAGAACTTCATGGTTGATAACACATCCTTTGAATGAGTCTTATAAGTAGTGTTGGTATATTTTAGGTAGTGAGAGCCTACTGATGCAATTATCACCAGGTGGTATTAATGGTATAGGAATGTAATTCATGAATACAAATGATAAAGATTTTAAGGTGGATAGAAACCATATGATTCATGGAAATCTAATTGGACAGGATATTATAGTAATACATGTATTAGTACTTACGTAATATCAGGTACTGAGAATGAAAATACTATGCTATATGTGTCTGTAGGAGTATGATAGTGTTACACAGTTATTATTATTTAGAAAGTTATGATCTTGATTTTGTTGTTTACAAAGATACGACTGTACCAGAGCAGGTAGATCTTTCTGATTGCTTTACATTGTTTATTGGATCAACATTTGTAAATAATTTATTTAATTCATTTATTATTGTTATATATATGTACATATTATGTTCAAGTAGTTATGATGTAACATGGATATGGATATCAATACATAGCTGAAACAGAGGGAGTTTTGAAGTAAAGTAAGCAGTATGAGGGATAGAAACTCGACCTTCTAAGAACTCTCATATAATAGAAAATTGTGACTACATCTTGTTCTATGCTCAATGAATGTGATACAAGTGATGTATGAATGGACAGGTTAGTGACATTGTGTTATGGTTTTAAGACAAACCATAAACAGAGGGAATGTAGAATATTGCATATTCTATGTTTCTATTGATTATATATATGGATGTGTGGATTGACATAAGTAACAGATGGTATCAATAAGTCACAAGGCTTTCTGTGTCCGAGAGCTCTGGAATGTGGATTCGGGGGTCTTGTCCTTATATGGCTAGAGTTATATGCTGACGTTAGTATTAGCACATCTATATAGTAACAGAGGGACACGAGGTCTCTCAGTCTCAGTCTTGGCTTGGCTCTTGGCTCTGTACAACGATGTAACTCTCCCATCAGAAGTCCAGCAATTACCATCTGCTGTTGAATGTCTACTATCCTGTAATATCCTTTATTATGTTTTATTATGTATCTGTAACAAAGAATAAACCTGAAGAAACCGTAAGTCAGATTGCGTATTACTACTTTTCAATAATATAGACATATATTATTGTGGCGAGCATTTGGCCCAAGACTATATATACAAAAGACGTATATATATCAATCAACTGAAGACAAGAAGAAATTAAGAAGATTCTACATGAACATCCATTCATCTACATTTTTTACACTAATAGAGATCTCGTGTGCTTACTGCACTGGCACCATAACCTATACTTCTCTACATTGCTCGAGATCACCTGTGCTTACCGAACTGGCACCATAACCTATACTTCTCTACACTACTCGAGATCTCCTGTGCTTACCGAAATGGAACCATAACCTATACTTCTCTACACTGCTCGAGATCTCCTGTGCTTACTGCACTGGCACCATAACCTATACTTCTCTACACTGCTCAAGATATCCTGTGCTTACCGAACTGGCATCATAACATATACTTATCTACACAAAGTTAGAAGTTAAACCAGTCTAAAACAGTTTGGCTACTTACATTGAGATGATGTCAGGGCACTATTGGCACCATAACGAATACTTCTCTACACTGCTCGAGATCTTCTGTGCTGACTGAACTGGCACCATA